GTAACACTATCTGCAAGTTTTTTAAAAAAAAAAAAAAAACCAAAAGTGGCAGTTGCAGCACAACTTAACTGAGTTTTCTGAATGAAACCCCAGGACTGTGTTACTGTTCTGAGTCAAATCTTGAAAAGTGTTATTTTTAACTAAGCGTTGCATAGAATGTTCCTCGCTCAACCTGTGTCCTGGCACTGTTGTAAAACAGATGCTACCGGTGTATTATACCTGCAACATTCAGGAATAACAGGATTTCATAAATTATGGCAAGATAAAGTAGACCAAGATGGTACCAACTTGTTGATGACAACTCCTGTGTAAGAGTCTTCCAACTTTTCTGGTTATTCGTTTTGCATAATAAACTGGAATGATGTTTATATGTGACATAATATATGATATTACATGTTATGTTTATATATATTATGTAATGTACATAAATATCATTCCAGGTTTTATATATATATTTTTCTGTATATATATTTTTATCTACATGTTTCACCTTGGCTTTTTCATGATTTGTCTTCTCGGTTTTGTCACCGTGCTTTTCCATGGTGTAAATATAAAAATGTGATTTCCTGTCTCCTTTTAAAATCTCTTTAAATAGCCTTCTCTTGCTCTTATGCAGCAGGTTTTAGCAGAAGTCATTTGATGTTGAACAGCACTCATGGTGCTCTAACAAAGAAATCGGTGACTGTGATAGCTCCTATTGAACCTGGTACTATGTTTTGGCAAATGTGTCTCAATGTCCTTTGCATCTGTGAGTAAAAGGTGCTTTGAGGAGGGGGAGCATATGTCTGCTTTTTATACTCATGCAGGGTATGGAGTTGTTTTGTTGGGGTTTTTTTTACCTAACCATTTTTCCTGAAGTCTGCTTTGGGGGTGACTGTTTATGTAAAGTCTGGTGTTCCCTAGCACTTTATTTTCAGACCTTACGTAGATGAAATGCTTGTGGTCACTGTCACTGGTTGACCACATGAAGGATGCCTAATAGCATGGGTGCTGTGTTGTCAGCATGAGGAGCTCGTCCAGGAAACTTTTTGGAAAATCTGTCTTATTTAAAACAAAATTCTAGCAACATCTTTTATACCACTGTAACCATGTGTGGCATGTGCAGTCCTCCTCCTCCCCTTGGTCTCCAATGTATATATAGCATGCATTCAGCAAGTGCTATAGAGTCTGTGAACTTAGGCATGCAGCAAGGAGCCAGCAGCCCATTTTCTTTGACTTTCTCCTGCCTGTAATCTCATAAGGCAGGAATTGTTTCTATGCAGTTTATGGAGGTTGGGGTGTGTGTGTTTGTGCGTTTTCAGATTCAACACAAACTGAAAAAAAACTTTATTCTCACTGCCTTTCAAGGCATCCTAGAGAAATAGGAATCCTTTCCCACAAGGAATTGAGATGTATGCAACATACTATAATTGTGTATGGGTACAATATTTAGGGTTTATATGGCCAGGGATTGGAGGATGGTACCTACAGGTAGCAGGCTAGGAGTAAAACTTAACAGTTCTGGAACTGAAGCAGGTTGCTTCCTGCCTGTACCAAGACCAAGAGACTTCACAGACCATTAATTTACTGCTCTGTAATCAGCTGGAAATTTCAGCGGTGCTTAAGAGTTGCCTCTTAGGCACCCTTGGAAATACCAGTTAACTTCATTATGCTTTTTATGTTGAGTCTAATATGTGCTTTCAGCTTGATCTTTTTCTCATGGTGGAAATGTTAAGCAGTAGTAGTAATCGTTATGTATCTTTGATAAGAATCATGCAAAATGGATCAACTAGTGTAACTCAGCTTAAATAACTTGAAATATATACAGTAATCTTAAGGAATGCAAGCTCAGTTCAGCTCGGGCTGTCTGTCTTGTCCTGCTTACCTTCTGTAGAATTATAATTCTCATAGGCTTAAATCCTGCACTGATGTGCCTCACTGCTAAATAGGACTACCTGAAGTAAATTGAGTTTATCCTCTTTTGGTCAGAAAGGTTAATTAAGGGGACAGTTAGGAAAGCTCATTAAAACTGTGTTCAGGTTCAGTGTAATGAAAAGTGAGCTTCCTGTGACAAGATAATTTGGAAATTACTCTTTTCTGATTTGTCATCGATACAGTTCCCCCGTATCAGTGTGCATATGCTGATGTGAAGCGGTGCTTTGGGCTGTGCTGTTGTCACTGTTTGCGTTACTGTGGTGGTTGTGATAGAGACTGGAACAATAACGTTAAACCCAGGCACCTTCTCACCCCTGAGGGAGGGGAGGGGTTTGGCAGGAATTTACACTGGATTTTGATTTGCATTTCCATTTCTTGGGTCCCAGGCTTTTACAGCAGTTAAAAGCATATAGGATCTTCGGATAAATGACCCCCACCTTGGCTTCACAGGCAGTGTCAATACTAGAAGCCAGCACAGACCAGGCTGCAGAAGCCTTCTAAAGCTGTGAGCACCCTTGCATATATCCACTCTCTGGTTTTTCTGGGACTGGTTCCTTACAAGATGGCCATATACGTGCTAGCTAGTATAATATGTGAAAGCTAGTTGTATGTCCCGGGTTCTGCTTCAGTGGACTGGGAAGCCTGTCTTTCTAAAAATGAAATCACAGCAGCCAACAAATTGTTTGCTTGTGTAGTCAGCCCAGCCCAGCCTCTCCGATTCTCTTCCCTCCTTCCAGTCTGAGACTGTGGGTAAGTCACATGGCTGGATCGGATAGCTTTGGGGAGGCTCGCAAGGAACAGCAATGTTAGACAGGCCTTTTCAGCGCACGTTTACTGGTTTAGACTTCGTATTTCAGCTTGACTCATGATTTTGGAAAAGTAACAGTTAGCTTCTGCTAAGATTGCCCATACTCGCAGACTGATGCGACTGCCTCGCAGTGTTTTGGGTGCAGGTATCAACTTATCTGACATAGTTACAGCATCAGTAAGTTGAGGAGATAATTGCACCATCACCTGGAAGCAGTAACGTGTAGGAGATGTGGATCTTGCATCACTGGGTCCTTCTGAGAATGAAGACTGGAGTGGCAGCAGAACAGAGCTCCTTACTGCTGTGAAGCTGCAGTGGGGATACTCCAGCCTCAACAGCGCTGCAGAATCGTCTCGGGGTGCTGTGCAGTCAGACCTGTTGAGATCAGCAGCAGGTTGGGATTGCACTGAACACTGTTAAACAAGGACTGATTTGTCCTTGACTTGGATGTTGAAAAATGCTGAGCACCTGGCGTTACAGCAGGGAGTTCCATCGCTCTGTGAAAGAAAGCTCAGCTTTTCCCCAATAAGGCCTTGAGAAGCGATGAAGCTTTGCTCATACTGGTATTGAGCCTTAGTCCACGTGATGCTCATGGCAAATTTATGTATTCTCTGCTTTTTCTTCTTAAGCAAATCCATGTAGCAGTATGAAAGCTTAACATCCAGAGTGGTGGTTCAACAGTCTTGTTTCAGGTTCATCTCAGTAAGCCGTGCGCCTGCTGCTGGCAGACACTGCAAGGCATGGACGCTGCTGTTTTGAATTGTGTACTTGTGTTGAGTCTGCAGGGAACCATGTTTAGAAGGGTTAGATAAACATGATTAGGCTGCATTGCCAGCAATGATGGTCTTATTTAATGCATTAATGAGTGCAGGTGGCAGGACCTCTGAAGTGAATTAAATGCAATGCAAACTCCTGCTGTATGTAGCAGAGCCACTGTGAGTCCAAGCCACTGAGTGCTGAGCCAGCTCATTTGAGAGATGAGGTGGGAGATGAGGATGAGCTTCCTATGCCTGAATGATAATTTTGCATTCTTCGCAGCAGGCTTCTGAACAGTACCTTACAGCAAAACTACCTTGCGTGAAAGAACCAAGAGCCAGAGAATATGCTTTTAGAGGTGTGATAGGATGTTTCTCTGTATTTCTAGCAATAGCAGCATTAAGATAAGGTGGTCACAAATACGGATTTACTTGCCTGCCACCTTGTTCTGTTATCTGGAGGGATTCAATAATGCACTGGTTGAAACAATTATGTGCAGCCTACACTAGCACTTAGAGTGCTGGAACAACACTGCCAGAGTCCCTTCATTTCCTTCTATAGGCAAGATGCTGGAAGCCAGCACAATTACTGTGCTCTGCTGGCCTTTCCCACGGTGAAACCTGGTTTTTATTTCCTGCTGCTTTAACCTTACTATCAGTGAAGTGATCCCTGGAAAGCTTGTATTGATTGCACAATATTGTCTAATTAAAGTGCAATAAGAAGAATTGCAGAACCCTCTCTCTTATAGCCCTGTGCCTATTGTAGAAACTATAAATTAGAAAGCTTTCTGTTCAAATATGGAAAATGTCAGTGCTTATTTCCTTTTGAATTTCCCTGCACCTCCTGAAGGCTACACTTGTAGATGTGTGATTATTTTTTTTTTTCCCCCTAAATAACAATTGGAAAGAAGTGTTATTTAGAGAAGAAATGAGGCCCTATAGGTTTGCAGGGGCCCTGTTCTGACCCCGTTAGCTATAACCCATGCTGTCTAAAGGGAGGCACTTCTAAATGAATGTATTTTAATCTGAAACCTGCTAGATGATCCTTTAGCATCATGTGCAGAGATATAAATGGGTATTAGTTATACAATATGTAGAGGCCAGTCTTTAAATAGTGCTGACTGGTCTTACCTGGAGGCTCTTTCTAGATTTTATGGCTCTCTTGCTCTGTGTTGCTTGTGGTTTGATACTTTCTAGTAATCTGTATCTTCCTGAGTTATGTGCAAGGAGCTAAAAAAAGATAAATCCCAGTCCTTGATAAAGCAGGAACTCAAGAGTATGTCATTGTAGTTCTGCATCTTGCTTAGTCATTGAGTGAATACAAGGCCTTCGGGAAATCACTTAGCTTACCCAAACCTTCAGCTTACATCTAATCCATAGATGATATGTGATGCACATAGAGATCTGTGAATGATCAGTAATTCTGCCCAGGACTCTGGGCGGAAAGGTGCTATAGAGAATGGTGGACTTTTATGCTGTGAATGAATTAATGATCCACCAAGTGTATACAAAAACTCTTAAATATGTTTGGTATCATGTGTGAAACTGACTTCCCTTTCTTTCCCTTACAGATGTACTTTTCGATTCCCTAGCACGGTTATAAAGATCCAGTTCACATCTTTATACCATAAAGAGGAAGCAAAAGAGGAAGCTTCATCACCTCCCCTTCGGCCACTTTATCCTCAAATATCGCCTCTGAAGATCCACATCCCGGAGCCGGATCTCCGGAGTGTGGTCAGTCCCCTCCCGTCCCCCACAGGCACTATCAGGTAAGATGTTAACTATCCGAAGTGTGCTCTCTGGAAAAGGTGTTCTCCGACACCAGTCTCAGACCTGTGTTGTTTGTCTGGTATAATTGCTGCATGAAATGCCCCATTAAAAAACTTGTTAAATTTCTGCTGTTCAATATTATGGAAGACTGTTAAAAACTGTGTTGTGGTGGCTCAAAGTAGGGCACAAGGGGTTTGTTTAAGAGCTCAAAAAGTTGAGGGGAAAAACTTGAGTCTCAGTTTCACGCTATAGGGTTACTAGTCTATCTTTGGCAGTGGAATTAGAAATATCCATGAAGAGCTACCTATGTGCATGGAGAAATGAAAGCAGGCAAATATTTTCTATGTTAGGACTGCCTATTTTTATCTCAATAATATTCTGTTGTTGCTGGGTGGTGCCGGTGTTATCTGAAGTTAGGGACAAGGGTGGCCATTGGCACGTGGTTTCCTGGGAATAGAAGGAAATGGGGGTAGGATGCTGACCATGTACTGAGGGGCTGTAGCAATCTGAACATACATCTGTGCGAGCATCCTGTTTTGTAAATTATCTGATTCATGAATGTGCAGTAGAAATAACCTGAACATCAAGTCTGGAATACTTTCTTTCCTTCTTTGTTGGCAGAGTTGATGTTGCAGAGTTGCAGTAATATCTTAACATTAAAGCTGTCACTTGAAGTATAATAAATTGTATAAAGTAAAGTAGACTCATGGTATAGGATTATGTATGAGAGTTTTAAAAAGTGCAGGCCTCAGAATAGCAAAGAGTGTACCTGGTAATAGTAATAGCCTTTGGTTTGTTTGCTTGTCTGTACATTTGGAAGAAGGTACAACACACAAATATCTTCTGACAGCACTCATTCAGTGAGTAGTATTCAAATATACGTGGCTGAGAATGACTTCAGTGTCACAATGAAGCCAGTTTGGTTTTGCATAGATCTGGAGGTGCTTGCTTGTTTGGGTTTTTCCCCGGTCTTGCAGAGCTGCACAGATGTGCAGTGCAGATATTCTAGAAAGAGGGGGCTGGAGGTAGCTGTGGGTTTAGTCCTCTGTTCAGGCACTGCTTTTAGTTTATATTTAACCTTCTCTTTTTAGATGAAGCTTGTTGCTGGGAGGGGAGGGGGATGGTTTCTTTGCCAACATATGGTAGTTAGTTTCCATTCAGTCATCTTGCACAAAGCAGCACAGTGTGGTTTGTGTTACTAACAGAGGCTGTATCTTTTGACTCTGGCATATGCCTGCAACTGATATTTGACTCCCTGAGAATGTTTCTTTTGCATAAGGAGAAAGTGGAAATAGTAGTGTTGAATTGTGCTCAGCCCCTAACGGAGTGTTTAATAAGGATGATTAATGATTGCATCCGCTTGTCTTGAACAGAAGCTAATCCAGCCAAGTCTTCAGAAAACCTCAAAAGACATCTGAGGTTTCACTTGCCAAACTGCTTTCGTTTCTGAGTTCCTCTTACAGAGGAGGGGCTGACACGTTTGTAAACATCGCTGTTCAGCCCCTTCAACCTTTCCCTCTCCACCAGCAGGGTCTTGCAGCTCTCATACCCCGTGGGCCAGGCTTTGGGAAGCGATTTGAGTGTTTCTGCCAAGAAAGGGAATGTTCTTTGGGCAGCATGTAGCTGTGCATTCTGACTGTCTGGCTTTCAGGGCAGCTCTCTGCTATCTTGGTGGCTTCAGAGTGGTGGGTGAGGCTGGCACAGTGTTCTCTCCGCCTTCCCAAAGGCAGGTCTGGGAGGGCTGGCGGGGGCTCAGCGTGGGACCCACAGCCCTCTCCCATCCCTGGCTTTGGGAGGTGGCTGCATGAGCTGGGCTCTCCTCCTCCCTCTCCCCCTTCTAGTATTTACTTTCCTAATTTGGTGCGTTTGCCTCGCTCCTCCCTGATTGGCCCGTGGAAAATTATTGCAGTTTGGAAATCCTGGGCAGGGTGAAATTTCCTGTTTGGAAAGTGGCTCTTGGCCCCCTTTTCCTGCCTCCACCCCGGTGTGGGGCAGGGGCTGTACCTGGGCTCCCACTACCAGATCCAGCCCTGCCCTCCTGACCCCCGGCCCTGCTCTGTCTCGCTGTTTACTTGCAGCTCGCTTCCCTGCCGGTTCCCCCCTGCAAGCTTCTGGGTTTTTTCCAGCCTATTTATTTTCCCTCTGCAAAGTGCACCGCCTAGAGAGGGAATGAGCTTTAGTTAAACAAAACCAAACCTGCCACCCTCAGCAGCTTTGCAAAGCAAGATTCCTGCTTATTCCTAGGGAGAAATGTGTCTACTGTTTTCTTTGCTAGATGTTTTATCTCCAGGAGGGGCCATTTGTAGATGTGTTTTGAATGCTGTTGTACAACTTTAAGGGAAAATGTTCGTTGGCAGCATGCTGTGAGGCTTATGAACAGTGTGGCTTATTTCTTCCTGCTCTGAGTTCAAAATTCTTTTTTTAAAAAGTCAGACTTGCATGTTCCAAAGAGGAAAAGGCCACTGTGGCTGTAAGAAATCAGTAGATGCAGCCCACCATTTTGCACAACATAAGAAAGGGCAGCATAGCACCAAATCTCTTCTCAGTAGATTCAAGGCAGTGAAAAGCTGTGTGAAAACCATGTGTGGTTTGGCTAAATTCAGCTTTGCCTGTTGGGAGATAAAACTGATTGACTATTTCTGAGTTAAGGGATAGTCTTTCAGTCCATGGCTTTAAGGTTCTGCAGCTCGCATTTGGAGGATACTCTCTGGGTGACACTGGTGACATGAAGTTCCTCACCTATGCTACAGACACTTAGCTTTGCCTGGTTTTACTCTTAAGTCCATGGTATCTACATGAATGTGACTCCATATGTGTTGCAATATAGTCCCCAGAGTGGCTTGTGCTTGGATTATAAACAGATCCACAAAGACAAGGTGTGATGTAGGAGCCTATTCCTGGTCTCAAAGTCATGCTGAGTTGGAGTTCAGATTTACAGTATTTCGTTTTCCTTTTATTATCTGCCAGTTCTTGTTAATGACCCTGTAGTAGTAACTTCAGTCAATTTTCCAAATAGCATCTCTCTCCAGCACTGCCCCTCAGGGTTGGGGTTTTTTAGTATTTATGAAAATGAGATTATTTCCCTGTACATGCTTCCCTATTCTAAACAGCAATTATGTTCTCATTGATATATACATTAAAAAAGCTACAATAAAGAAATATTAAATGCTGTACCATGGAGGTCAGTATAGTTACTCATATTTTACAGCTGCTACTTCTGGCTTATCTCTGTACCAGAATGACTGTGGGCTTGAACACTTTGTCTTGTACTTGTTTGTTTTTTCACTGAAAGGGCGTGGATAGTTAGCTTACATACAGTCTTTATCAGTAAAAAAAAATTCTTTGACATGTAGGGGGAAGAGCCCTTGGATCCCGGTGAGAACCACTGCTTGAAAAGTGTCTGGTGAGGTTCTGTGCTAATAGCTGACCTGGTACATAGTTGTGTGTGGACGCAAATTTGTTTGCAATTAAATTAACGGTATGAATAGTGAAAAATTGGCTGGTATCCTCCTACATCTTTTGTTTTATTACCTTGATTAGTAAACCAGAAGATGTGAGCTGAATTGCCATGGTTTCATAAGCTATATTCTTTAAACCTTATTTCCTTTTTTCCTTATTTTCACTAGGCAAAATTAATTCAGTAACACGCAGCATGCTCTGATAGTGGATTACTCACAGGCCCGCACTCCAGGAACTGCAGTTATCTTGGCTTAGCCACCAACTTGTTTTGTGGCCTTTAAGAGGTCATTTAAATTCATTGTCTGATTTTTATGCATGTATAGTGTAATTACTGCTTTCCAAGAGTGTGTAGTAGATAAATTATGTATTGAGCCTTCATTCCGTAAAGCAGGACAGAAGAGTGAGTGTGTGTGTGTGTTAGCCATGTTATAGTACACATGCAAATGCTGGCCATGCTTTGATTCAGACTTGGCTTGGAAGAAGGGAGTGCTTTTTAATAGGCTCTAGGACAGCTGTACAACACTGTTTCGGAACACTTGGGATTTAATCTGAACTTGCAAATTTCCTCTAAAGGTATGTAGTGGGAAGCTGAATGAACCCTGCCTTCAGTGGATGCATTCACTCACTGGAACAGGATGCATAAATATTGCCTGCTCTGTTTCATTCAGGCTTTCCTTCTTCCTATAGCAGTATTAGCAGTTTAACTGCAAAGACAGTGAAGAGCTCCAAGTTTTTCTGCAGGCTCTTTTGCATTGTCTCGATTATCCATTACTTCCTGCATTCAGGCAGAATGTACAGCTCGGGTAACTCCCACAGTCGGACAGACAGATGATTATTTTTAATCACCCTTGACTCCAAACCACAAGCCAACTAGTGTGATGCATATATACATCACGTAAAAAAAAAAAAGCAACAATCTATACAGGGCTTGGGAGTTCCTACGCATGTTTATTTCAAATAACGGACCGTGTGGTAGAGGAGATGTGCTAAGCCATGTGCTGGAGGAAAGGTTGCAGATGTCACCAGCTACACAAGCACTTCCTCTTCCCCTGATCAGTATAAAACATTCACTGAATCCACGGTCAGAGTGAGCTCACTTCCTTTTGAAGAGGGGAACCGCTGGAGCACAGACAAGTAGTAAGAATTTCAACTTTTGTGGATAGCTAACTTTCTCTCATTGTGGCTTGTTCGACGGCTTTGTTTTTCTTCAGTGTTAAGCAGGCAGGGTAGCTCTCAGATTTCTCCTTTCACATCAAAATCCAGCTCGGTTTGGCAGTCTCACCACTTGTGACTGTTTCTGAAACCTGTCTGAAACATGCAGCGTGCAAGGACTTGCCTTTCTTTGAGTTATGATTTTGGGGCTAGGCTGGGGAAGGAGAGAGTGGTGGAGGATTCTCACCCGTTATTGCTGATTGGTGTATTGTGGAAATGCTCGTTTCGCAAGCCGAAGTGCTGTACTTTGACCTGATTCTTGCTTATTGCACGTAAAAAGTGTCCCTGTATCTTCTGGTGCCCCTTTTTGCAGGCTCATGAAACAGAA